ACTGGCTGGAGGTTATAAAATGATGGTCAGCTCAAAGAAAATCACACCTGTTGTACAGTTAAAAGAGATCTCTGGACTGGATCTCTCTAGTGTTTGAAATGTCTGAGGGCTTGGAGAAAATACCAGCATGTTATATGGTGCCTTTTTCTTTCTAATACTGAGACCTATTGATGGAGTGAATAGTATATAGATTACTGACATCCCCCTTTCATACACTAAGAAGGACTAGGTTGTAAAATTTTTAAATTATGGTTACAAATGATACCTGGAAACAATTGTAATCTTTTATTAACATTAATTTAAATTAAATTAAAAAACAACAACAAACATCAGCTTTGAGGAAGAGTTTGGCCTGTCTTTGAATAAGCTTTAAAATGGTCTTTTGAATAAAAGTGCCAAAGAAGAAAATCAAGTTTTAGGTGTTTATATTAGCTAAATCAGAAGGAATTTAATTCTACCTCTGATCACTGCCCTTTAAATTTGCTCATCTGGTCAAGTTTACCCAACCCCAACATAATTCATTTTAAGTACCATTCACTCTTGGCCTTTCTGCCAGGCACCTGCTGCTCTGCTCAACAGTGAGGATTCAGAATGACTAAGATATTGCACTTGTCCTCCAGAAGCCGACAGCCTGGCCTGGCAGAACCTCTAGTCTGATCGAAATAAGTGGTAAGATTTTCCTCCCACCTGATATATTTGCTTTATAAAGTGAAGGAGGATGGAAATATTCATAGCCCAGTCCTGGAATAGCCCAGTCCTGGATAGCCTGCTGAGATGAACTAGAATTCCATATTGTACTATTAATATTTACTTTTGTTTAGTGCTTAGGTCTTGGAGAAACTTGGCAGAGAAGAGGGCAACTGAAGAACTTAATTCATCAGATCAGCATTTAAAATTCATTATAGAATTTATGGAACATACTGACAAGGTTAAAGTGAAAGAGAGTAACTCTGGTGTCAATGTACCCATCATCATAGTCTACAGAGCATTGTTCACACTCCCATTCCATCCTTTGTAGAAATGTTCCTAATTTCTGTATATTCTCAAAAACCTTATTGTTCCACATCTGTCCTGCTTCTGAGTTCTGCTGAATTTATAAGTTCTTTATCAGCTCAGAGTTATAGTCCCAATGGCTCCCTTCGAATCAGACCCACTTTTAGGCTCTTTCTCTTGACTGCTACCAAACTCTACTGAAAATTTGGGGACATGGAGAGATTATATTGCAGCAATGCAAACAGCTTAATTCAATATTAGACATTTCTATACTTAAAAATTCACTCTCATTTCCCAAATTCAGACTTCAGATTCTTACATGTCTTCTTCTCTCCTTCCACGTTTTAATCTTCTCTCTTAACCCCTTTGCTCCTGTATCTGTTCATTTCCTCTTTGTTTTTTCCATAAAGATTGGCACCTGAGCTAACAACTGTTGCCAATCATTTTTTTTTCTGCTTTATCTTCCCAAACTCCCATATCTGTTCATTTCTAATGTGGATGATTTATTCAGATATTAATGTTTCTTTGTTCCCTTGTCTACACTAGAGACAATTTAGACACCTAGAGTTGCACTTCCTCCCCCAAGCATCACTTAATGATCTTTCTAAAAGAAAGAGAAATTCGGGCACTAATTTCAAGATGATATATGGTTTTACTCTTCTACAATATGTGAATAAACAGATGATTTAACACTAAAAGTCACATATATACCTTGCTTTCCAGATGGACTCTATGTTCTTTTTGAATGAGATTCATATTTTAAACTCCCTTGAATCCTCTTTTTTATTTAACATAGTACTCTAAATGCACTACTCATGAAAAGCAGAGGATGTTCTGCATGCTAAGAGAGCATATGTTGTCCTTTTGGTTGCAACAGCAGAATGTAGGAGGTAGAATGCTATGGAAAAACAGGCTTTATAGCTAAACTCTATTAGCTGCTTACTATATGAATTTGGGGTAAATCAATTAACTATTCTGAGCTTCATTGTCTTCATTTGCCAAATTGACTTCATATGCCACAGTAATGTTGTGAGAATTAAATAAGGTAAGAAAGAAAAGTACAATATATTTCTTTCTTGTCTTCATAGTATATAGTTTTGTGAATCAAAAAAAATTATACAATGTAGAGTTTTAAATCTTTTCCATGCCCTTCATGCAACCATAAAGGGAAACTTTCAGTTGATTGAAATTATGGGTGTTGCCTGTCAACCAACTTGGTTTCATTTCTAGTGCGCAAAAGCATATGAACCATGTTTCTAGTTTCTGTCAACTTGATGCTTTAACATCTGCCCTACAAGCACATGCTGACACTCTTGTTCTGGGACAACCTGATAACATGCCTGAGTCACCTGGCCTTTGCCTCCTGCCTCCCTCCCTTATTGCTCACTTCCTCTTCAGGGGGAGCGCACTTCCCAAAGGCATGATTTTCAAATACAAAACAATCAATCCAGAGTCCACATCCACAACCACCTCCTTAATCAGACTCTCAACTTTAGCCACTATAGACCTGTGCTAATCACCCCAGAAGCAGGGACCTGACAAGACCCTGCGCCCCAGAACCTGTTGAAATTACTGAAATTAGTAGGTTCTGAGCCTGCTTACCCTGCCTCACCCATTCTTTCCTATGGAAATCACCATAAAAGCTCTTTCCCACAGTTCTTCCTTCTCCTTCTGCCTCATGACTGATCCTGGCCAGACCCCATTTTCCCCTCCCCTACCATGGCATGCTATGTA